TGGCTCAAAGCATGCATTAGTGATCTCTGCTACAGAAAGCTGCTCATGGTAGGCTTTCTCAGCAGAGATGACTGGAGCATAGGTCGCCAGAGGGAAATGGATTCTAGGGTAGGGCACCAAGTTGGTCTGGAATTCTGTCAGATCTACATTCAGGGCACCATCAAATCGCAGGGAAGCTGTGATGGAGGACACGATCTGGCTGATAAGGCGATTGAGGTTGGTGTAGGTGGGGCGCTCAATGTCAAGGTTTCGTCGGCAAATGTCATAGATGGCTTCGTTGTCTACCATGAAGGCACAGTCGGAGTGCTCCAGGGTGGTGTGGGTGGTGAGAATAGAGTTGTAGGGCTCAACGACAGCTGTGGATACTTGGGGAGCTGGGTAGATGGAGAACTCCAGCTTGGACTTCTTGCCATAGTCAACGGACAGGCGCTCCATCAGCAAGGATGTAAAGCCAGAGCCAGTGCCACCACCAAAGCTGTGGAAGACCAGAAAACCCTGGAGACCTGTGCACTGGTCGGCCTGTTGGGGAAAAAAACAAAGATTTCATGCAGTAATTTTCAGGATTTTTTTTATCTCTGAATACATCAAATCAACAGAACCATGTCAGTTTTAAGATTATTTTAAAGTATATAGTTATAAACAAGGCCTAATTTAGTAACTAGTGTTACTACTTCCAGTGCAAAATGTGATGCTTTCTAAGTTTTGAGCTTACAAAAATAATACTTCTGTAATTATTCTTTGTGGAATGATTTTTTAAAGTCACTGATGGTATTTCTGTCCTTACCTGCTTGCAATAACTATGCATTTTTCAGTTTCATAGATTTTATGGATCAGAGAAGACACATGCGCCCTGAGGCAACTGCACCAATAATGTATTTGCATGTAACGTGAGACCTCAATGTACATTTCTCACTTTGCATCAGTGTGGTTATTACATTTTGTCTCTCTACTTATGGTATTCTTGCCACCAAAAAATAAGCTTGTAAATTCCCAGTTTGCTGCCACTTTAATTATTCCAATTCATCAATATTCAACTCAGGAGAGCACCAACAAAATGGTGCTATAAATAATAGCCCAATATTAAACCATACAAGAAACAGTTAATCATACTAGTAAAGAGACTAGATAATTAATCTAGGTAAAGTTGTAAAGTTTGTAAAAATATCAAACAGGGTTGTTTTGAACTTTGTTCGTATGTAATCAATTTCTATCAAATTCAACAAAAAAGGTTATGGACCTAGTAAAGGATAAAAAGGATTTCTACCAGTCCTGTCTGGTTCAGCAGGATGGGCGTGACCTGGGTCCCAACAGCTAAGGTAGGCATGTCCAAAGTCTGGTTGGGGGGCCAATTGCGGCCCATTTTCAAATTTTGAGTGGCCTGCAGCCTCTTCTCCCCACTGAAGTTATTTGTTTAGTCTTTCATAAAATACTGTACTTCATTTGCATTTAATGTTAATGGTTCAAAGAATGTCAGCCTGAATGGTCGGCCCCACACATTTTCACTTCACCAAATCTGGCCCTCCTTGCAAAAAGTTTGGACACCCCTGAGCTAAGTTTGCAGGACCCAGAAGGTGAGCTCTTTATTGTAGCACCTGCCCTATCAGATGCTAACTACTCAAAAGTTCTTTTTCTTCTATCAAGATTATCCCAAATGTTCACTTATGCAAATATGTAAATTATTTACCAATTTGCGAATCCTGTCAAGGACCAAGTCAATGATCTCTTTGCCAATGGTGTAATGCCCCCTGGCATAGTTGTTAGCAGCATCTTCTTTGNGTCAAAAGAAAATAAGACCCTGTCTTATTTTTGGGGAAACATGGTAAAACAACTTAAGTTAAAAGCAGCTGTTTATTTCTCTTCCCCCACCCCCTTTTTTAAAATAAACTTTCATTCTGTCTCTTTTCTGGTGAGATTGATCATTCTCCTGACAAAGGAGGATGAGAATTGATTTCCCTAGGGACATGACATAAAGCTGCTGCTGAATCAGAAGATATCAAGTGTATGGGAACCCTATTTCTGGGATAGGATGCCAAGTACAATAAAGGCATTCCATTGGAACATAGGCAGCCACAGTGTAAATTACCAAGCAGGTACACCAGAACAGGAAGCATAACTAGGGTACATACAGAGGCTTTCTGAGACAGGCAATTTGAGACCTCTAGAGCTTCATCCGACTATTGTTAAGTCAGCTTTGCTCCATTTCTTGCCACAGTTGTTAAGTGAACTCTGTAGTTGATATGTTAGTAAGCCGGCTGTTAAGTGAATTTGGCTTTCTCATTGACTTTGCTTGTCAGATGTTTGCAAAAGGGGATCACATGACCATTGGGATACAGCAAGTCATAAATATGAATCAGTTGCCAAGCATCAGAATTTTGATGTGAACATGGGTGATGCTGTAAAGGTCGTAACTGTGAAAAATGGTCATAAATCATATTTTTCAGTGCAGTTGTAACTTTGAACGGTCACTAAATAAACTGTTGTAAGTCAGACTGCCTGTAGTTTATTAGGTCTTAGTGTAGCAAAATGAGATTGGGGTGCTGGTTTGTTTTTTTTAAATCAGTGGTATTTAGAAGTGGAAAAGCGCAAGGTTGAAAAATTAATAACATTCTTTAATTATGGTTTTATTGTTCATTTTCAGTGATATACATAAATTGCTCTCTAAAAAGCTTTCTTTCTGTAGAAATATTGCATTTTTTTAAAGCTGCATCTTGCTTTAACATTAAAAAGGTTTTTGAATTCTCAGAATTTTTCCTTAACGTGGGCTTCCCTCTTTCGATTATACTTTTTTCATTGTTTTATGTACTGCTTAAATAAAAAAATCACTTCCCCAACTATTCATTTTTTAAGGTTTCAGCATTGGTGCCAATTAATTTTCTTTCTTAATTTGATGGCTCTTATGTAATGGGACTTGTAAAAAGGAATTATTGTGATATACAGCACAATATGTAAAGGCAAATAGAAATTTAGCTATATGATCATTTAGAAAAATCTTGAAACTTGATTTAGTTATCAAATTTCAGATTTTTTTTATTTATATATCAAGTATGCTTCCAAGCTACAAAATCTTTTTGAGATTGCAATCCAATATATACTTAAAAGTAACATTCATAATATAAGACCGAAGTGTTATTTGGGATAGTATGAGGTTTTATAAAACAGAAGTATGTTGTAATTCATTGGACTAGAGCTATATTTTAAGATTAGTAAGCATTTCAACACTCTTAACTTTCTACAAATCTTAAGCATTGGAGCATTTGTAGTAAATTAAAATTGCCACCATTCCCACTTTAAATGCCGTTTTGGTTAGTTTGCTGTTTGAAGTGGAAAATACATGTCAGAATTGATGGGCTCTGTAGAGATTCCAGCAATCAAGATTATGGCTGACACCTGAGCAAAACACAGCCTCAGTTGGATATGTGGGATTACTAAAAATAGGCTTATAATTCAATTTGCTTGTTGGTGCTATGTATGTCAATTGCAGCGCATAGCATTTTCAGATAAATACGATTGTGTCATGCTAGATAATTTCAAACATTTTGCAGTCTTGGGCAGATATAAGCAAAATTGAAGACATGGCCAAGAAATCTCAAAAATTAGTTCAATAGGTCAGGCTTTATAAAAGCTAACTGGAAGTCAGTTCTGACCAATGAGTGAGTAAAACTAGTAAGTAAAATGCTTAGTTACAAAAGTAATGTATATCCCAATATCTTGAAATTTGTTCCCCCCTCCCTTATGTTGACAGATTGTAGACTTTATCCTCTTTAGCCATACAGTAGTGAAATAGTTGATGGAGGATTAATTGGCCAATTTCTTTCAATATAAGAAATTTAATCAGAGACTATGGACATGTATACCAGTTTAGAAGATAAAATCAAAAGAAATTATCTGAAGTTTTCTATATAAAATTTTTGCCTACTTATTTTACAAGTTAATAATGCCAAGAAACTTTGATTTATATAACTTTAAACTTCTATGGCTGATTTTGTGAATTAGTCAAGGTAGATAGTACACCAAAGTTTATAGCCTAAAATAGATTTTATATTTGTTGCAGAAAACCTTGAGACATTTGTTAAAAAATATATTGAATGCCACATACTCAAAATGTTTTATACCATTTTATTTCACAGACATGATACGTTTAAGACATGGAAAACTGACATGATCACATGGCGGAATGGCAAGACATCCTAGTGTCTGCTGCATTCCTTTGTAGTATCACGGCCCCAGGTAACTAGTAAGCTAAGTGTGTTAAATGAAACATCATGGAGACGAGGAGCAGAGATGTGGCAAAGCAGGTCTAATATTCCTCTCCTTCCTCTTCACCCTCTCCTTCAACAGAATCCACACCCACTTCCTCATAATCCTTCTCCAGAGCAGCCATGTCCTCCCNGAGAAAGTTGAAAAATAGAGACCATCTTTGGTGGGAAGGTAACAGCATTCCGTGCACTTTTGGTTTTTAGCCATGCCGGCTATATGACCACGGAGGCGTCTTTCGATAGTGCTGGCTCTTCAGCTTTGAAACGGAGATGAGCACTGTCCCCTAGAGTTGGGAACAACTAGCACATATGTGAGTGGAACCTTTACCTTTACCTTTAATTAATTATAGGAAAAAAGGATTCTTCCTTCCTCTTCCATATTTCTACTCTACCACAACTTACTTAAATGTTCCGTTATAAGTGATAGAGCCACTCCATATTATTTCATGAAGTGAACTGTAGCTCACAAAAGCATATGCCTTTTAATAAAATTAGTTAGGCAGAAAAGGGGATACCAGTCTCCTTCTGATAAATTACAGATAAGGAGTTTTCTACTGCATAAAGATGGTGCTTTGTTGTGAAATAAAACCAACCTCCAAAATACCAGTTGTAAACTACTAAAATTTAACACCACTAAAATGGCAGAAAATTTTATTTATTAAATTTATATGCCATTCATCTTATTGTCAAATGATTCTGGTTGGCTTACAAACATAAAAACTAAGATGCAAAATATTAAAAGTATTAAATATTAAATTTTGTTTTGTTATTTTTACCTTGTTGCTGCCATCAATAATAGTTCACCAAGGTAGATTTTCCTGCCACAATTAATAGTCAATAGAATTCCAAACCTTTCATCTCCTAGAGAAGCATCTACATATAAAAGTCGCCATCTAGAGGCCTTGCAAAGTTTAGAAACAGATTTCTTGCTGAGAAGTCAACATGCTAATAAAAAAATCTGGGACATAAATACATAGACCTATTGGGCAAAAATTGGTTTTATAGCATGTCTATCTTAAAGTTTTAAAAAAAACAGCTTCTTTTAATTTCTCCAGAGAAATCTTTAGCATCATCAGTGGAATCATGCGATACCTCATTTTCCTGTTTCCCCCACACATACTTTAGTTCAATCTCTTTATCAAAATATTGGGAGGAAGGTCCATGTTCAAGAACAATATAAAAATAGAATTTATGGATTAAACTTATTTGCAGCTGATATGATTATTTCAGATCCTACCAATTATATAATTCAATTATAAAGGTAAAGGTTCCCCTTGCCATATGTGCTAGTCATCCCCAACTCTAGGAGACAATGCTAATCTCCGTTTCAAAGCTGAAGAGCCAGCACTGTCCGAAGACATCTCCATGGTCATGTGGCCGGCATGACTAAATGCCAAAGGTGCACAGAACGCTGTTACCTTCCCACCAAAGTGGTGCCTATTTTTCTACTTGCATTTTTCATGCTTTCTAACTGCTAGGTTGGCAGTAGCTGGGATGAGTAATGGGAGCTCACTCTGCTATGTGGCGCTAGGGATTTGAACTGCCAAACTGCCAACCTTTCTGATCGACAAGCTCAGTGTCTTAGCCACTGAGCCACGGCATCCCTTAATTTAATTATAATTATAATTTGAACTAACTACTTCTACATCAGCAAGCTGGCACCCTCTGTTTACTTAATCCACATCAAAGTGTTACTGCTTGTATAAAACGGAGTTCCATGTGAAATTGCTTTGAGCCCCTGGAGTGGAGAAATGATATAGATCAGGGGTATCAAACTCGTCATCATGTGACATATTGTGACTTTTTCCCCTTCGCTAAAGCGGGGTGGGCATGACCAGCACGTGATGCATCCAGCCCTGATATAGACCTAACAAATAAACAATCAGGAAAATACAGGTAGTCCTCAACTTACGACCACAATTGAGCCCCAAATTTATGTTGCTAAGTGAATAATTGAGTTTTGTGAGTTTTGCCCCATTTTACAACTTTTCTTGCCATATTTGTTAACTGAATCACTGCAGTTGTTAAATTAATAATAGGGTTTGTAAGTGAACCTGGCTTTCCCATTCTGACAACCTGGCTTGTCAGAAGGTTGTAAAAGGGAATCACATGACCCCAGGACACTGCAACCATCATAAATGTGAGTCAGTTGTCAAGCATCCGAATGTAAATTGCCTGACTATGGGGATGCTGCAATGGTCATAAGTGTGAAAAATGGTCATCAATACCTTTTTGCAGTGCTATTGTAACTTCATATGGTCACTAAGTGAACTGTTGTTAACTCAAGGACTACCTTTAAATAAATAAATATTAAAATAGTAATTTTAATAATTTATTGTTTGAATCAGTGTTGATAAATTGCTCCAAACCAGGTTTAAGAAGCTACTATACTACTGGTATATATATTTATCTAGGTGGATTGAGATATTATTGAGCAATTATCACAAAAGATTGGCATCAGTTAAAGAAAATTACGATTGGAAGATTTAAAAAATATGTCATAGAAACAGTCTTCTTTTTATTATTATTTGGAAAGATATCCTACATGTGTAAGTATCACTTCTTCCTAAAATTCTATGACTTTTCTATTCCTTGCTTTTACTCATGGCAAAATAGTTCCTTTTATTTAATTAATGTATAATTTTACTTAAAAATCAGGCCAGGCCAAATCCTATGCTATCAACAAAAGCATTTCAGTGTCTTACATATATTAAATCTAAAATACTGCTTTGATCCTTTAAAATGAAAAGTATTTCTATTGTCCAAAACTCAACATATGTTTGGAGCATTGCGCCGACCATGGTATGGGCACATTTCACGAGCAGTACTCCACACTGTTGTTTGCGTTGCGTACCTTTTTAACATTGATGGCAAATACTTATATGAAAGAGCAAAGCAAAAGTAGCAGGACACGAAGATGATCCCATTGGACGGGTTTGCTGCATTTGGTCACATGCAATGGTGTTCATTAATCTAAAAAGCAGACCCTACGCTTGCAGGAAAACGCTAGGTCAGTGATGGGTAACCTTTTCGTTGTTGGGTGGCAAAAATGTGAGCGTGTGTGTGCAATAGCACGTTTGTGTGCCAGCACCCATAATGAAAACTGCACCCCCACATTTGCATGCACGGACAACCCCCCCCATGCTTCCCCCCCCCCCACGTGCGCCACACTGCTCGCTTCCAAACTGAGCTTGATATTTCGTCTGGGGAGGCCGGGGGAGGCTGTTTTCGCCCTCCGCAGCCTGGGGAGGAGGGCAAAAAACGGGCCCAACAAGCCTACTGGAAGTTCGGAAATGATCCATTTCCGGCTTCCGGAGGGCCTCCAGGGGGCTGAGGGAGGCCGTTTTCGCCCTCCCCAGGCTCCGAAGGTTTTCCTGAAACCTGGGGAGGAAAAAGCGGCCTCCCTCTGGCCTTCTGGAAGGCCGAAAATCAGCTGGCTGGAGCTGACAGCTCGTGTGCTGGCAGATACTGTATGGCTCCGCATGCCACCTGTGGCATAGGTTCGCCATCATGGCGCTAGTTTGAAGAAAATTAGACTTTAGATCAATTTGAACTGCACTATTCTACCTAAATATTTTAAAAATCAGATCTACAATTACAGCATTCATATTTAAATATCTAATAAGGGTAATAATATTTAATTTAATATTTGAAAAAACAGGAAATTTATGAGGAAAATTCTTTCCTTTTCTCCCATTCTTTCACCTCAGATTTTAAACATGTTATAGATAAATATCATCTGTGTGCATAATGGGAAGACAACAGATTGTATAGCATTTAAGATTTGACTATTGATGGGAAAACTTTTTTCTTGTCCATAATGTGTAAAAGGATATCAAATGAAACGATGAGTTTCATTAGAAACTTAATGAGATCTTAAACCTAAAACATAACAATATTCATACTATTTAAAGTCAAAGGTGTTTCAACATTTTATGTAACAGATTCTCCTGAAACTCTTTTTAAAAGGTATGAGCAAAGGGTTTGGACTGTGCGCATTATGGTTAAAAAAAACCTTTCAAAACAATATTATGGAAAATCCTTCCAAGTTTTGGAATTAAACTTGGACTTCAAAATAGTCAATAGATGGTCATGCTACCATCTATTGACTAAAAGTCGTACTACTTTTCCTCAGAATCTGCTAAGAGCTTTTAATTGTTTTTTTGCATATTTTCTATTGGAAGTTCTTCTAAGATGCTGCTGGGAAATCTGAATAGTCTGTAATCCCTTTCTCTACCCTGTTTCCCTGAAAATAAGACCTCCCTGGATAATAAGCCCAATNGTTTCACCTTTTAAGTTGCATTACTGGAATAAATGAACTTTTGCACATATTTTAATTTTTTGAGTTTTACCTCTATTGAAAAGGAAATTGTTATAAACAGATATTGCATGTGAAAATCTAATGTGAAGAAGCATTTTGTGGAAGCTCTCACAAAAAATTTAAGACCAGCTATGGTACTAAAAAAAAAAATAACTTAGCCTTCATTATGGTGACAAAAAAATCACTGCCAACTTAATTCTGCATTATCCTATCTTTGTTTTTGTTTCATGTCTGGCATGCCATGTTTGAAGTTAAAAAACAAAAAACTACCAATGACAAGCCAAGGACCATGACACAAGACTGTCAGGTTGTTCCAAGGAAGTCATAAATGAAGGTCTTCAGCATTCAAACTTCTTTGAATAAAACTGATCAATATATTAGACTCGACAAGATATTATTAATATGTAACAGAGGACATTTTTATGTTCCAGTTTAGAATCCCACTAAAACTGTTATTTCAATTTACAACACTAAAAAAATGCATTCTAAGTTTTAATTTCCAAGTATGATAAAATTTAATATCTAAGAGTTAGTCAGATAGGAATTCTGTAGTCTCTAAAAGCATCATGAATGAGCTACTCCCTGCTGCCACTCCCTGCACCAGCAGTCACATTTCTTGCAAGCCAGAAAGCAAAAAGGATGCAGTCAGCCTCCCACATCTACAAAGAGGAAACAGGCCAAGCAGATTTTCCCCCTAGCATTGATTTCCTCTGTGGAACATCTGCTTACAACCTGTTTCTTGATTTATCTAAGGCCTTGCTTTAAATTCCTGGCACATGTCCGTCTTCCTGCACTCCCTTCACC